TACGCGGTTTTTGAGATAGTGATGATGATTGCTGCGGTTGTGATAATGGTACTTGCAAGGGTTCTTGTGATAAGCCTAATTGACGATCATTTGGAATGAATACCGGTAATGATTGTTCACGAGGCATGGTAGTTTTTCGTTCAATTGAAATAAACGTATCATCATCTTCCGCTAATTCTTTTGAAGCACCAAAACGTTTATATTCAAATGGTGAAACACTTGTCATAATTTCATTGATTTGCTTTGTCTAAAATTTAAAATTTAATATCTTTAGAATTCCCAAGCATTTGCCTTTTTTTTTCACCTTATTTTTCCACATATAATATTAACGATTAAATTAAATTTGTCATATTATTGCTAATTATTTTATACCTTTAATTGTGATAATGCATCGTTCAATTTTCCGATTGGACCAATATCAGCGCAAAAATTTTGACAATCTTCCCAACTTTCAAAATTATTATCATTTCCCAAACAACCACGCCACCAAAATGCACCACATTGTTTGGTTGTATAATCATACCAATAACGAGCTGATAATTGATTACATCGTAATGGTCCTTCTACTTTAGGTAGAAAACAACGACCTGAGAAAAAAAAAATAACAAATTTAAATTGAGATAAATCAATTCAAATTTAATTAATTAGAAGAAAATGAAAAAATAAAAACCTGTTGCTGGTGGTTTTACACAAACTGCTTCACATTGCTCTTTCGTTGCAAACCGATTTTCATTACCATCACAACCGCCATACCAAAATTGCTTACAACGACCTTCAGCTGTATCATAGTACCATAGTAATTTATAGCCTGGATGACATATTGTACCCTGATCCTGTGATAATGAACATGAAACTGAAATTTTTACTAATTAATTTTAAAAACTAACAAAAGAAAATTCTCCTTTATAAAAATAAACAAAAAAAAAGTTTCACTTGTATTATTAACAATTATCATTTGTTTTAATAAAAAGTTTTAATCATTCCTCTGCCAATTTTATCGATAGACATTCTAAAGAAAGAAAAGAATGCAAGAATTACTGATTTTTTCCGGTGCGACAGAACCGCCTATAATAAAAGGTGCCGGTGTGGTAGATGGACATCCAGCATATTGTGGTCCAATAGCTCGAATTTCACTATCAGGACAACAACCATACCTTAATATATTACATCAACATTGTAATGTTTACCGATTCAGCAAAATGAGATAGAAATGATTGATTGAGAATTTAAAGAAAATTAAGCATACTTTGAGTATCGACAATCATCACATCCTTCATTCATTGGGCCAAGAGCGCTCGTTTCACCATCCGGACAACATCCGTACTGCGTATATTGGCATGGACAACCTGTAAGATTGTAAGCAATTCTTTTATTTTCTCTTCTTATAATTATTTCAAATTATTTTTCAAAGGATATTATTTGATCGATGCAAGTAAACAAAAATAACTGAAATTTAATAATTCTTTTTTTTTTGAAGTTTAATAATTCAAAAGAAGAAACAAACAAACAAACCCTCTTTATTTGGTCCATGAGCTCTTGTTTTACCGTCCGGACAACAACCATATTGACTTTGCGCACATGATATAGGACAGCCATAATTCTTAAGACCTTTTGCTACTGTTTTACCATCCGGACAACAACCGTATTGCGCATATTCACAACCACATCCTAAAAAAATTTTCCTGCTAAAATCAAGTAGGAAAAATTTTTTTTTTTGCTAAAATCAAGCAAAAAAAAAGGTTCACAATTTATTAAATTCTTGAATTACAGAATCAAAAAAAAATTTCACGATTTTTTAATTGCAAAATTACAGAGTGTCAATGATTAAAATTTTTTCATTCTAAGTTATTAATTATGTTTAAATTTACCTTCATTTTCCAATCCTTTTGCAGTTGTTTTACCATCTGGACAGCAACCAAATTTGGTAGTTAAACAGTTCTCACCGCAACCGGTACCATTCTTTCCTAATGCTGCCGTTTCACCATCCGGACAGCAACCATATGTAGATAATTCACACGGAAATGATGATCTTTCGCATCCTTAAAATAAAATAAATTATTTATACAACTGATGATATAATTGATTGATAATAAGGAAAAAAAACGTGATAATTATGATAACGAAAGAAATATGAAATAAAATAATCATACTTTCTATCAATTTTTGTTTGCTGAAGAAATAAACAAATTTGAGAAAAAAAAAACAAATTATTTAAACCTGCATAATATGGTCCAAAAGCAATCGTTTTACGATCTTTGCAGCAACCATACAACGATGCAGCACAAGTTGGCTCACCACAACCTTCATAGTTTGAACCACGAGCCAAAGTTACTTCATCCGGACAACAACCAAATTTCGTTTCATTACATGCACCTTCAATTTATTACTATTATTTATTATTACTATTAATATTGTTGCTACTATTATTATTACTATTATTATTATTTCTTAATTATTGTTACTTAATTATTATTACTTAATTATTATTACTTAATT